TACATACGCACATACACACATACATAAGCATATATAGGGGGTCTTGCGTACCGAGTACAGAGATCGTCGGTGCCCAGCAGATCACAGCAGCTTCTAGAAGCCCGGGGGTGCAGGGCTGTGCAGCTCCAGGGACAGCGACCGAGAGGTTCTTTTACTTTCAGGAGTCATTGTTTCCGGCCCGAAACCAAAATTCTGAGACCCCAAAGCGCCCTAAAACCCGAACATTGAGGCAAGGAGGTTGTCCTCCACTACTTGCCACCACCTCCGAACTTTCTGCCAGAGCTGTACAAAGGTCTCCGGCGCCGCAGTAGTGTGGGGGAGGGTTTACGGTGGGGGTCACACCATTTTGGGACATGCCGCTCAGAAGTTACTTGCGGGCCTGCATTTTTGGCCATAGGCGTGCGTGCGTGGGGTTTGGGTGCTGACAAGAAGATTGTCATGAGCTAGATTTCGCAGAGCCACCCCAACGGGTAAAAGGGTTACAACAGGGTTACATATACATATACGAAGAGAGGTGTGTGTGTGTGTGTGTCTATATATATATATATATCTCTCTCTCTCTCTCTCTGTAGGTGTGTAATGGCTTAGGGATCCTTAAACGCAACCCAGAGCCTTCATCCTTGAGTCCTTCGATGCATAGCCGGGGAGCCTCGGATGAGAGGTTCCGGCAGCGGCTGGAGGCTCATGTGCAAGCCTATAAACAATAATACCAATAATCGTAGTAATGATAATGCTGTGAGAATACTGATAGTGGCAACCTAGTCATAAAAGTGTATAATACTAGCAATAGAAATAACACAGTGATTGTGATGCCAGTTCTCCAGATGTTGTTGTTCGCGGGGTGGAGAGGGGCTGGTGCGGTTTTGCGTGGCCTGGCAATCTTCAACTTCCAATCCTTGAACCCTGAAAAGTTTTGTCTGGAATCCGATTGTTTGTTGTTGTCAGGCTCGCTTGCAGCAGAAGCAGAGCCAAACAGCGAGTCAGAGATTAAAGGGGTTTCGGACGGCTACGAAAGCCGTCCACCCTCAAGCTTGGGAGACTGGAACCATGGACATGTGGGTGATCTTTGGCCTTCCAGCTGAGGTTACTTCGAGTGTGTCCACAGGCGACTGGCAGGGTTCGGGCTGGGGATTAGGGTTTAGGGTTTGGGATGTGTCGTGGCTGCTGCCTCATCTTTAGCCGACTTTGAAGTGCTGCTCTGCAAGCCTGCAGGGAGTTTTTGATGCATGCACAAGTTTTAGCCCTGGCCCCTGCCTACACACCTGCCTAACGACGAGATACCTATGAATACGGCGAGTATCGTTGCTACTTTGTCGCTCTACACTGCTCGTGTTCATTGCTCTGTTCTCACCCAGAGTCCCCAAACCCTGAACCCTAAACCCGAACCCCAAACTCCTCAACCGTTATGTGAGGATGTTGGAGGACCCAGACATGGATCCGATCGTTTGTGCCACCATCGCGAAGATTGCCCTCAACACGCCACCTGGTCCAGGGTTTAGGGTTTAGGGAGTGCGAGCGATGCCCCGAGTTCGTGAACTCCCAAACATCCCCGCAGACAAGCAAAAGCCAACTGCACAATCACGTGCGAAGAAGACTTGCACATCATCATCTTCATGGTAATCATCATCATCACGGTAATCATCCTGGTAGTAGCAATGACAAAACTATGCCAGCGTAGACTGTGGCGGGTGCACGATTGGCACCCCAGAACATCCGCGGGACAGTGTCGAGGGCAGGACTTCAGGAGGTGTAAATGCACGGCACTGACAGGAGTAGTATATTTTGGTATCTTATAGTATATTATGGTATATGAGCATTCATAAATGAACTGCGATTTGAACTCGTCCTTAGTACAAGTGGCGCATAAAAAGCGCCCAGACCATGTTCTAATCTTCTTGGCCCCTATGTTAGATCGCGAGAGAGGGTCAACAGCTCACAATGTACACAGGGTTTGCAGCTCGTGCCAGGTCCAATCGTTCCGCATGGACCACAAAGACCCGCAAAATGCAACAGGAGCTCCGACACATCGAACCCCACCAACCCTCCCAATGAAGACACGACGCTCGTTTTCCTTTTTGCAAAGAAACATACACGTGCTGGACAACACGGACCCTAAGCCGCTTTGTTCATCAACAAAGCTCTTATACTACTACACTGCACGACCCTTGTTCCTTCTTGGACCTGTGTTCGACGGAGAAGGGTTGACGACATCAGAGGCCTCGGGTAGACCGTTTCCAGCTGTGGTTATGCGTTATGCGGTTTCCAGCTTCCAAGGGGAGGATTTCCGAAGCTGAACGGAACGGTGCCGAGATCACAATCGGTGTCCTCTCTCAATCTCGTGGCTTACGAGCCCTCAACTCTAAACCTTAAGATCGTTCACAATGTTTAAAAAGGGCTCTTGAGGAAATTCGATCCTAAACCCCGCAAGCCCCTTACAGCATGTGTCCATCCCCGCATAGTCCACTGTAGGACCGAAATATAATGGACCCGGAAACCCTAGTTCAAATGTTTTTTAAGCCCAGCATTGTGAGTAGAGAAGAGTAATTAGAGTGTTAGAGTAGAGTACAGCATAGTAGAGTAGAGTAGTGTAGTGTAGCGCAGAGTATACCAGAGCAAAGGCCCTTGTGCAGAATCGGATCGGGTGGGATAGCATGTATGGATATATTGGCCGAGGCTCCACCCAATGGCAGATGGCAATGGGCGGGTGCAGCGGATGATCTTCCAGCTGGTGCTCTTTAGGTGGGCTCCGGAGTTAGGGTTTAGAGGGTTTAGGGTCCCTAAACCCTCCGGCTTGTTCTGGGCTTTGGCATCTGTGGTAGCCGGTAGCCAATGAGAAGGAAGAAGAATGGTGGGAAGTAGCCAAGATGATAATATGCCACTGATGGTAGTAACAGCACCAAAAGCATGCTACCTGTTCAAGGTTGCTTGGTCTTACGAGGAAGTTGCCAAGTTGGGAAGGGTCAAAGAGTCCTGCGCCTCAAGCCAGCTGAACCCCAAAGCTCACCTGCCAGGTTCAACTTCCTCCCGCGAGTGAACATCCCCGTGTCTGTGGTCGCTCGACTCATAAAACCTAAAACCCTACACCCCTGAACCCTAAGCCCTAAACCCGAAACCCTAAAACCCTAAACCTTAAACCCGACACCCTGGAAAGCTTGAGAATTCATAGACGGACCCCAGAACTCTGCTCGCCCCGAGGGACGTCTTCTGACCTTCATGGGACTTGGAGTGCTCATAGGCTTGATGCCCTCAGATTCAGGTTTCGGCTTCAGGTTTGGGGTTTTGGGATTTCGGGTTTCAAGTTTAGGGTTTAGGGTTTATAAGAGCAGAAAGGCCACATGCTTCTGGCCCCGAACACGAAGCCAGCCGTGTAAGGTCCAAGACCTCAAACCATCAAGACCTAAACTCGAAGCCCTGCAGGCCCAGGCGTAGAACCCTCGACAACTTAGAAGGGCAAGCTCTTTTGGTTTCAGCAAAACGGACCCTAGCTAACTGCTTCTCTACTGATGAAATCAAGGCGTTTAAGCTTTAAGCTCCTCACAGCTTCACCAGCCCTAACCCTGAACCTTAAACCCCAAACCCTGAACCTTAAGCCCTGAACCCTGAACACTAGCTTACGAGCTCAGCTCAAAACTGGCATGGCGATTGCAGCCCTGGCCCTAAACCCTCAACCGTGAACCCTAGCTCAAAATTGTCGTGGCGATTGCCTCAGGTAATGCTGCAGGCCGGGCGACTCTTGGGAAGAGAGTTGTACAGCATTACCGGCAGTTCTCTACATGAGGGTCGCTTGAAAGGGTTCCTTAAGGGTTCCAAGGGTTCCTTCAAGGGATCTATAGAATTAAGGGTCCTTTCTAGGTCGCCCAAATAGTTGCAAAATGGACCCTAAAAGGGACCCTAATTCAGAGAACTACCCATATGGAGTTCTTATCGGGCTCTGTATTGGAATCATGGGATAACAGGACCCAGAAGCCCTATTCTAATTAAGTATGATTAAGGTCCTCATATTGCAGCGTTCGAGTTCCTGACAAGGGGCAGCACAAGGGGGAGCACACAGCTCGAAGAGAGAAAGATTAACCCACTGCTCCAAACGGACGACTGGAGTGCCCGAGAAATTTGTAATCGACAGGGACTTGAATTGGGCAAAAGATCGAGGCGCCCACCGCTCGAAAGGGTTGAGCGACAAGAGCAAGGCAAGCTGCTCGAAGCGAACGCATTGGAGCGCGTGAGGCCGCTGAGCGTCCACCGGAGAAGACTGGAGAGCTTGAGGGACAAATTATGAGGGAAAAGATTGCAAAGGTGGGCCTGACGTTTCATCAGGGGAACCAGGACCAAGCCGAAGGGACTCGGGAACGCAGGAAGAAAAGCCAAAGTGCTCCGAGCTGTTGCTCCGGTCTTGCTTGAACCTACCGAATTCTACGAAACGCACGACCTTTCAGGGAGAGAGTTTCTTGAGGTGCAGATTTTAACCTCCTTCTTTTCGGCCCGATGCCTCGAAGGGCTTCACTGTAGTAGAGCCGGCAACGACAGGATCGTACTGGCTACGAGGTGATGCAGTGCCTCGGCCAGAGAAAGCAAAGACCACGGTCCAGAGTTGGGAGGTCGAAGTTCATGAGTCGGGGCTCAGGAATTGGAGGTTCAGGATTTCTGGAATTGTCGATTTTCGGTTGTGTACATGGTGTTCAGACAGGAACCGCAAGATAGACCGCAAGGAGCAGCCAGACAGATGCTCGTTCAGATGTCCCACTTGTTGGCTTCTATCTGCCTGGCTTCTTTCGTTCAAGTTGGGCCCAACCTTAAACCTAAACCCCTGAAAACCCTACAGCTCTATGATCTTACTGTAAGCATCTGAAAAGCCAAAACCCGAAAATCCAAAAACCCCAAGACCCTGAATCCGAAACCCTGGAAACCTAAAACACCAAAGCCCTGAAAACCTAAAGCACCCAAACCCTAAAATCCCCAAACCCGAAACACTTGTAAACCCTGAACCCTCAAACCTGAAACCCTAAAGCCCTAAACCCCCAAAACGCTGAACCCTAAACCCCAAAACCTACAACCCCAAGCCCTAAAGCCCTAAACCCCCAACACCCTGACCCCTAAACCCCCCAAAACCTAAAGCCCTGTGACAGACAGAATCCGACAAGCCCTCAAGGCAAGGGCACGTGGACCAGATCATGGCAGGCCCTCAGCACCCGCCCAGCTCTGGATGATGGTTTAGGGATGAGGGTTAGGGTCTAGAGTTTAGGGGTTTAGGGTTTTAGGGTTTAGGGTTTTAGGGTTTAGGGTTTAGGGGTGTAGGGTTTAGGGTTTCGGGTTTAGGGTTAGGGGCTTAAACAATTACTATGTTGGGGGGGCCCCTCATTTTTATAGTATAGGGTAGCACTTGGGCTTCGTGCATGCTGGTGGATGATCCTAGGACTTCTGCCTTTGGCTTTATAGGGCTCTGTGATTCCTGGAGGTCCTTACTGGATGCCCGGAGGGGTGGGAAAAGGTGAACATTGTTCAGAGTGGGGTTGTGAGAGGATCCCGGTCTTTCGCATTGGGATATGAACGGGCAAGGACAAACCCATGAGCCACTAAAGCCCGAAGCCAACAACGACCAAAAAAGGAACAATCCCAAAACCTAATATTGGTAGTTCTCTAAATTAGGGTCCCGTTTAGGGTCCTTTTTTATACGGGTGCCGTACTATATTGGGGGACCTGTATTTGTATTGAGGGACCCTAATTTAGAGAACTACCCACATACATCCGAATGAAACCCTAAACGCTAAACTTTAAAGCGGATAGGTCTGAAGCATCATCGGCTTCGACTGCCTGGAGAGGACGAGGATTCGCCTATTTCTCAGACCCGGGACTACGGTTCAGGGTTTAGGGTTTAGGGGCTTAGGGTTTAGAGTTTAGAGTTGAGGGGTTTAGGTGTTAGGGTTTATGGTCTTTAGGAGGATTTTGGAGGGTTGTCGGGGGTAGCCCATTCTTGACTGCCATTTGGTCTATAATGGGTGTGCGACTGCCCCTGCTTTTCTGTAGAGGGAGGCTGTCTCTTAAGAGTGCTCCTCGGAGGAAAACCCAAAGAATACCGGTTCAAGAGAGAACCCAACCTGCAGTGACGACTTCCACCCGAACTCGAAGCTGCGGCAGGACAGGTTTAAGGTGAACCCTAAACCCTAAACTCCTGAATCCCTAAACATCCTAAATCCCTAAACCCTAAATCCCTAAACCCTAAACCCCTAAGCCCTAAACATCCTAAATCCCTAAGCCCTAAATCCTAAATCCCTAAACCCTAAACCTCCTAAACCTGAGAACTCTAAGCCTATAGCGGCTCTTGTAGCTGAAGCCGGCCCGAGGTTTCAGCACATTTTCAGGTGGGTATTTACCGTTATAGGAGCCTTATAGAAGGTCTATATACCTTATGGAAGGCTTATAGAAGCCCTATAAACCCTAAACTCCCCACCTGACCCTAAACCCTAAACCCAAAGCCCTAAACCCTATCCTAAGCCCGTAAACCCCTAAAGCCCTAGACCCTAAGCCCTATATACCCTAAACTCCCCACCTGTAGCTTCCTTTAGCGAGGTTTCAGCACATCGATCCCAAAGAAGGTCTCAGGGCCGTCTACAAGCAACTGGGCGGCTCGGGTTCCGGGTTTAAGGGTTCGGGGTTAGGGTTTCGGGTTTAGGGTTCAAGGGTTCGGGGTTTAGGGCTTCATGGGTTTAGGGTTAAGGGCTCGGGGTTTAGGATTTAGGGTTTCGTGGGTTTAGGGTTTAGGGTTTCGTGGGTTTAGGGTTTAGGGTTTCGGGGTTTAGGGTTCGGGGTTTCGGGTTCAGGGTTTAAGGTTTAGGGTTTCGGGTTCAGGGTTTAGGGTTTAGCGGCTTCTACTCATCTCTTCGCAGTACTATAAGCATAATCAGAATCTTATAAACACTGTATCATCAGAAGCATCAAAGAGAGCAGGCTTAGGTCTACAAGCAGGTGGGCGGCTTCTGTTGATCTCTTTACCATTACACTTCTTCAATCATAACCCTAAACCATAACCGCCTAAGCCCTAAAAACCAGAAGCACGTATGAAATCGGGCTCCGGGGGTGCCTCGTCAGATTCCAAAAGCTGGTGACGAACATGTGGGGAAAGAGGCCCTGAAACCAGAACCCCAGCTCCGAGACTCTGCAGCATGGGTTTAGGGTTCATGGTGTAGTGTTTAATTTAGGGTTCAGGGTTTAGTGTTTAAGGTTTAGGGTTTAGGGTTCAGCGTTTAGTGTTTGAGGTTTAAGGTTTAGGGTTTAGGGTTCAGGGTTTAGTGTTTAGGGTTCAGGGTTTAGGGTTTAGGGTCTTTGCAAGCCTTGAATTAGGATCCTCTCCAAGACCCCCCGGGCCCCGTAGTTTGTCTCAAAGTCCGAGTGGCTGCTCAGCCCTGAAAGCTCTAGCGGCGCCAAAACCCCCTCAACCTGAACCCTATAAGCTTAAACCAGAGGCCTGTCCCCCAAACCGGAATCCCAAAGCCGGATAGACTTGTAGACCTGCGGCCCCAGTCCTAAACGGTCTCAGACTCCATAGTCTCCCCAACCTCAAGTCTGAACTCAAAGACTCAGAGGCCCTCGACCGCAAGCCAATCGGAGACCCTGCAGTAAGCCCGTCTCTTCCATTGTCCTGTCTCTTAGCAGCCGAAGCAAGGTACCAGGACTTCACCTTTGCTGTGAGCTGCCGGTCTTGGTTCGGGCCAGTTGGGATAGAGGGCATAGGTTTAGGCTTCCGGGCGGGTCGCTGTGGCTACATAGCCAATTTTGGATGGGATTTTCCGTTCAGGATGTACCACTGGATGCGCATCCACAACTCTCGCCCCTGACCCAGGCCGCTATGGTGAAACACAGCGAAACAGGCCCCTGACAGCTTAAGAATCAACTCCCGAAGCTGCTGGAAGACTGGCCTTGTCCTGGAGCCAGGAAAGATCGACCCGGGTCTAGGGGAGGGGGGGGGGGAGGCGGGGGGTGTGTGTGCAAGATTTAGGTGGTTTGGGGTTTAAGCATTTTGGGGTTTTTGTGTTCGTAAATTCCAGGTCGTGCAGACCCTTCCACTACGACTCATCCGAAGCTGTCGTGTCCAAATTCGCCGTGATCCTGTTTCGAACATGTCGTTGCATCTTCGCGCAACCCCAAAACCCCTAAAACCTTAAACCGCTTGAGAAAGACCTAAAGCTGTTGTCTCGACTCCATAGCTGTAGTCACGGGAGTGATTAGCATGTGAATCCCTGTTCATCTGAGGCTGCATGACGAAGCTGATGCAGAACACACTGCCAGTGCTCGCAGCGAAGGCGGTGGTTGAGTCCTTCCTGCGGCTGCCCCTTCGGGATCTTTACAGCTTCAGTACCTTTCGTCTAGTAGTTCCTGCTTTTGGTTAACCGATCATGTATTTAGGATCCTATAAGGTAACCCCAAAAGGGTAGTCATCACCCCTCAAAAATCCTGCGCTCCCGAACTTCAAGCCCGAAACTGCTTACGTGATCCGGAGTCCGAAAGCCCAACACCCCAAATAACAGCTGACCCGACACCCTCAACATCAACACCGAAACCCTAAACCCCAAACATCAACACCTAAACTCTAAAACCTAAACCCAAAACGGTAAACCCCGAACATCAAACCCAAAATTCCTAAAACCTAAACCCAAAGCCCTAAACCCCAAACATCAACACCAAAACCCTAAAACCTAAACCCAAAGCCCTAAAACCGAAAGACTCCAAGACCCTAAACCCTAAAACCTAAACCCACAGCCCTAAACCCGAAACATCCCTAAACCCCTGACCCGAAGCCCTAAAGGCCTACTTCCTTCGTCGTTTCGACTGGCGCGTGGACGAGCTGCTCAAAGACCTTCGGTTTGCGGCTTTTTTCGGATTTCAAGGTGTAGGGTTTAGGGTTTAGGCTGTTAGAGCCTTTACGGCTTTTAGGGCTTTTAGGGTTTAGGGTTCTAGGTTCTAGGGTGTGGATACAGAGTGTGCGCTCTGGGTGCGCCTGTTGCTTTAGGAATGGGGGCGCACCCACTTATCGAGCGCTTGCGTCAGCATGCGCCCCAACCACCCCAGCTATTCTCAATTAGGGTTTAGGGCTCACCCCCCAAACCCCCCTCAAGTGTCTTGCTCTCTGCTTCCCCTGCAGCTCTGCATAAAATGCGTGTTTCACAGCAAACCACAGCTGAGATGGATTAGTGTCGAGTTGTGGGTCCTCGCGGCCTGTGCCGGCCGCTCGACGAGAAGCAAAGGTTCCCAACAAGCAACTCGCCCCTGGCACCCTGTCAGGGTTGCTCGAATTTTTCCAGGGACGGCAAGTCTGAGTCTCACAATCTCTTTCTATGATTTGTTGTCAATGTCGCCCCTTCGGACCGGCTCAGGAGGGCACTGGGAGGCCCTGAGGCCTGGTAATCTGCATTTGTGAAATGGGCCCCAGACCCCCGTGGGAGGGGTTTGGGGTCCGTCTTTACTGCCTAGCGGCAGAGAGGTCAATAGCGGGGTGGCGTCATTACAGTCCTCGTATACCGGGAGGCTTTACTCTCCCTCACTGTTCTGACGCGACGCTCGGCCCGGGGCCTCGGTCGGAGCCCATGCAAATGGTCAGCGGCGCCCTCGGCAATTTAGGAGTCTACTGTAGGGCTTTAGGGTTTTAGGGCTCAGGGTTTAAGGGTTTGGGGTTTAGGGGTTTGGGGTTCAGGGGTTTGGGATTCAGGGTTAGGGGTTTAGGGCTTTAGGGTTTTAGGGGTTTGGGGTTTGGCGGTTTGGGGTTTTTCGGGTCTCAAGGTGTATGCTGTAGGACTCGTGGGTGAAGGTCTTCAGGCTTTTCGGGTTCGGGGAGTGCAGCTGGTCGTTATAATTTTTCAGCTTCCCTGATACCATCAATGAAGTGCGGGGTAGACACAAGCCTTCGGAGAAGAGTCCAATGGAAAGGCTTCATCCGTGCTACTTGGGCTATGAGGAGTTTCGAGTGGCGGTAGACATTCGTTCCGATTCGAAAGCCTAGGGTCTGGATTCGGGATCTTAAACCCCAAACCCAGCCTGTCTGCCTCGCGCTGCTACACATTTCTAGACAGGACGATGCATTGCTGCCACCAAGGGCAGCCACCAAGAGACTCGGGCCACATCTGGGTGGAGCGTGCGGTATATTAATTGGGCTTGTGTAGAGTGTACTTCTATGACACACTAAATCCGAAACCCTTTTCCGGGCTTGCGTGGGGGCGCACGGTATGCCCTCAAATAGACATTTTGATTCCTGCTTCAGTGTTCTGTTCGCTCTGCTGGAGTTTGGTTTTCGTGTAGTACCGTCATGATAACCAGGCGGGGCCCCAGGAACCGCGGTTGTCGGGAGCTCCTTCCTTCATGTTTCGGTTTGGGGTTGAAAGTTTACAGTCATCCCCTGCATTAACCATGAAACCTCGTCTTTCTCGGCTAAGGATAGCCAAGACCTTCAAGAACGACGCGACGCGTGGAGTGTCCTATGCAAAGGTGGGACAGGGAATGTTCAGGGATCTGCCTGGCAGTTTCTCAGTGTTAGGTCTTAGCAACTTGCAGCTCCAGTTTCCTGCTGTGGTTGTCCGCTTTTGCCTAGAAGGTGCTCTGAACTTAGCTATAGCTGCAAAGGAACTGCTTCGTTCGGGCCTTCGGGAGTAGTTTCATGCGAGATCTTTTCAACAAGCAAGGGTTTTGACGAGATACTTGCTCACAGAAGGCCTGGGCTTAGGGTTGATTCCGTGTTGTTTGACTCCCATGGTCTAGGCTCTTCAGCGTGCCGGGTTTTGAGTACCGATCGAAGCAATGACTACTGATGATGGAAGGTGCACATGCAGGAACTAAGTCTACAGTGCCAAGTGCTTTCCCTGTCTGTTTTGGCTCGTTGTCGGGCCGATGGATGCTTTGTTGGCGTAAAGTTTAGGCTTGCTGCCACTTATTGCACGTCGGGACCGCATACATGCTTTTGACGCTACCAGGAGCTGAGGCCTTGAAGCTGTAGTTTCGACGTTGGTTTGTTGCGGTGGTTGTTGCGATTGTGGTCAATGTATTTTTTAGAACGGGGGGGCTCAGCGCTGTCGTCAAATTTGCGAGTGCCGGAGTGAACATGTTAGGCTTCCGTTGCAATCAACTACCCTTTCCTTTCGGGGGAGTTCAGGGTCCTTCCAGCACTTGGCGAAAAGACAACCTCGCAAGACTAATTTCCACGCTTCAGACCGGCACTCTGGTACCCCCACTGTACGAGACGGACAGGAAGTGGATCGCATCAGGGACTCATGAACCTTGACTATTGAAACCTATCTCCTTTTGGGTCTGCTACATTCAACTGTCTATGTCTAGGTGCTTTTGGGGATTCCTCCAAGTAGAGGTTCTCAAGCTGATCTTCTTGGACGGCTGGTGGATCGGCTTCCGCAGTGTCTTGGGTTGGTAGCAAACTTTTTTCCGGGCTTAGATTTCGTATAACTTCGACTTCTACGCCTTACACCGATAATTGATGCGAGGAACGCAACAGACGGCGGAATTCACGCAGTGTAGCAGTGTAGAGGCCTGAACAATGACCAAGGCTATTCCTTAAAGCTCTGCAACAAAATTCTACAAATAGTAACAACAAACCGAGGAATTGGACACTTTTTGCGCACTGCTGCCCATCCAGATGATCTCTTCGGCTATCGGTGGCTCTGCAGTTTTCTGTTGGGGGACATGGGGCCGGAGGGGGCGGGGCTTGCTTTGTGATTTAGAGATCAGGGTTGAGGGCTCTACATCCTTGTGTTGAGGGATGGCATGTAGATGTTGAGAAGGTTTACATTGCAGGGCTTCGGGCTCGGGAATACAAGGGCTGTTGAATCCAGGGTTTGACTTGGCACGAAGGCCAGTCGTTTATGTGGATGTTCGGGCTGGCGTGGTGGAATAGGCCTGAGTAACAACTCATAACATTGCCTAGGGTCACTTACTTTTATTCCTGGCAGTGACATGCCCCGAAGCCTCATTCTTAGTCATGAAAGCCCCTATTGCTATATTTTCTTACATTGACGAATCAAAACCTACGTTTTTTGTACTGTCCCTTAAATTCCATATCAGGGTTTCCAACAAGAACCTACAAAGAAGTAGGTTGTGGGAATAAAAAGGTAAAACTTAAAGCTGACCCCTGGCCCGATACACTGAACACTGATTCACGAGCCCCCAAGCATATACCAGGCAGTTTCGGCGCCGCCTTGCAGCTGTTCTTGAGAGGCCGGGCAGTATTGCATGAGCGTTTGGGGTATAAGTCTCGGGTTTTGCACCCTTCCGTCGCAGCATTACAAAGTACAAGCTGTCTCTGCGGAGCATCAGACCATCCAAAAGCTCCCTTCCAGGCATCTCAGAGCCTACGCAACCTGTTCCCAAAATCCCACACCCGCCGAGGGTGAAGCAGCAAACCCTAGAATCTAGACCTTTTACCCTCAGCCCATTCGGGGTGGTGCTGCAATCACTGCAATCTAGTTAGCCCGGGCCTGTTCCTGCGAAGAGTTTTTGAACCCCAACAACTCGAAACTCAAATCGCTAGTGGCAATGGCAACGCCTGACGCCCCTAGCATGCTGCCTGAATCCTCAGTCAAGACCGTGCAGAAAACCAAGGCCTCCTGTAAGCCAATAAGCACTGAACTGACAAGCCATTTGAACACCTGAAAATCCCCTGCCCCGCTGACAGGGTGGAAGTAGTGGAATCTTAGGGTTAAATACCCCAGTTTCTCCAAATCCCAAGCGCAAAATCAAAAGCCTATAACTTCTTCTTTGTAGTTGCTTATTATCATAGACCGTAACATGGAGTTCAAAGCAACCCTACAAACAGTAGAGTGTAGTAATACAGGTAAGCCCTAAGCCCTGAACCTTAACCTAAACGGATAATCCGAACTCCCAAGCCCAAATAGGTCTCACCGCCGCCGGTTTCTGATGTCTTCGGGTCAGCAAGCACAGCCGCTGGACAGATAAGTTGGTGTTCGTGGCTTTGGGGCTTTTTGTTTCGCGTGTTCAGGCTTCAGGGTGTGGGGTTTAATGACCTTTTCCTAAACCCGAACCCCTAGGCTAAAAGTTAAAAATCTAAGTCTCGGGATTACTAAATTACTGGAACCTTACGAAGCCTAAGCCAGTGAGCGCCCCGAATCCCCCCAAAGAAGTTCTACTTTCGAAGATATTTTTTTTGGAGAGTCTAACTCGCTGCAGCCTTAGGCCTTAGTTCACGTGAGTCCTCAAAAGGTGGGGCTTAGGGTTTAGGAGTTTAGGGTCTAGGTTTTGTGGAGTTAAGGAAGGGCTTCCCCAGCCCTCGAGAAAGTGCACCAGATGACCCAACAACCCACAGACCATTCACACCTCAATCCCTAAGCGCTGAAACCCAAATTACAACCCCGGGAGCTTGAGCGAATGAAAGCACCGGCCCTCCGCCAGAACCACGTTCGAAGCTCTGAGCCTCAATAGTCACAAGCCTCAATCATCACAAGCTCCAAAACGTAGATCATATCAAAGATTTAGTTGTAAATTGTAAGGTGCAAACATATATATATATATATAATAGGTCTAATGTCTATTATTGTATAGTTCAGCTGTTGAGTTTGGGGTTCTCCCCGAGCACGCACTTCGACACACTCTGAGCCCGGAACCCAACAAACCCGAAAGGCGAGGCCCACGGGCTTAGGGTCTGTAGGCTTTAGGGCTTTAGGGGTTTAGAGTTCATGGGTTTAGGCGTTATGTGTTTAGGGTTTTAGGGTTTAGGGTTTATGGGTTTAGGGTTCGGGGTTGGGGTTTATGGGTTTTTGGGTTTAGGGTTTACAGGCCAAAACCACTTGAGAACCGTCAGGCAAGACAAAATCCTCGCGCAAGCACGATCCAAGGACTCTACAGGCAGGGTTTGTTCTTAAGCTTAAGACCATTTGCTGCGTCGTGGGCTGTGGTTGAAGTCACAGGGTCAGGGTGTAGGGTGCAGCATTCAGTGTTTGGAATTCTGTGTGTGTGTGTGTAAGTCTTCTGGCTTCCGTTGAACAGTTTTAGGCTTTAGTTTTCATTGGCGGTTTCAGGGCGAAGGCAACAAGCCGGGCTTGACTTCTTTATCTCAGGATTTTGGACCGTTATGTCTCTGCGAAGTCTTTGGCACCCAGCCTGTTTGCCAAGTTTTACCGTTGCTCTGGCTACCATTCCTCGTGAGGAGGAGGGTACGAGTTTTCTCGAGATGCGAGGAGGAGCTTGAAGATAAGTTGTCTCTTCGAGTGCCAGAGCACAGCACATGACATCGAATTTTGACCACTGGCGGCCGACATCTGCACTGCTTTGGCTTTGGCGAGCATTTAAGTTTCAAAGCCTTGATACTCAAAGCCTAGAATCAGACCTCATATGCACTGAATCGAAAACCAAAGATCAGCCCTAAACCCTACACCCAAAGCCATTAACTCTAAACCTCAACCAGAAGCTGCACCCTCAGAAACTGTCCAAAACTCGTTCCTTCGGCACCGCTTCTGCCAGGTCGTGTGCGTTGGGTAGCGGTCTCGCTGGTCACTTCACTGCAGTTACCATAGTGGCCTTAATTATACTATTTGCGGGAGTTCTTTTTTTTAGTACAGTGTAATATAGCCCAAAACCCTATTCAAATTATTAAGGCCCTTACATTAAGTTTGTGTTAGAGGCCCCAGCCCTGCAACCCTGGCTGCAGCACGGCATCCAAGGATAAGTTCTACACATCCGAGACGGCCCTGCGGAGGGTTGTCGAGCGTCCCTGGACCGATATTGGACTTAGGCTTCAACAGTCCGTACTGGTTGCTCTGATGTGGGCTGGATCTTGATGAACCTCGAATACCGGTAGTATAGGACAGCATGAGACGGAGGGTCTATGATGTGGCTTGGGCTTCATGGCTGTTCTCCTCTAGCAGCCCGTCGTGGGCTCGCCGGTTGCAGTTGCAGATGCTCAGGTATTTTTTTCAACACAGGACTGTCGTCCCAAACCCAAGATGCCTCTGGGCTTGCGCTCTCTTCTGCCAGAGCGGTCGTGACACGAACTTGCCATAGCAGCCTGGAGCCAAAGCCATGCAAACCCCAAAGCCGTAAACCCTCAACCCCAATCCAAAACCCAAAACTCTACACTACTCCCTAAACCCCCCAAACGATCATAGCATCTTTCAGCGCCCTCTGGAAGAACCCTTGACTCTTGCACCCTCGCAGGAACAAGTACAGACCCTAAACCCTAAACCCCTAACCGCCCTAAACCTCTAAACCCTAAACCCTAAAACCCTAAAACCCTAAACCCCTAAACCCTTAACTCTAAACCCTAAACCCTAAACCCTAAGCAGAAGCCAAACGGCCAAAGATCAAGCGTACCGGAGGCTCAGTTCCTGGAGATGCAGTCATTGCCATCCACTATCCGCCCCATGGGCTCCAAGTTTAGGGTAATCTCCTAGCACAAGACACTCAACCCTGAACCTCAAGAGTACCTGAAGAGTATGTTACAAGAGGGAACGCTTCTTTCTACACTGCTAGCACAACTGACGGGACAGCACTGGGGCTATTGAGTCCGTCAGGTTTCTTCGACTGCATACGACAATCCATGCAACTGTCGGTGCTGAGGGTTTAGGGTTGCAAAGGGCATGGGCCTTGCAACCCTACAAGGGCTTTCAGTTAAAACCATAAACACCCCAAACCGTAAATCTGTCACAATGGACAACAGACTTGTTCTGTGGGTCTTTGTCCTGGCCTCTCCTCTTGAATTCTAGTTGTGTAATGGCCTAAACCCAATGTGGTTTGCGAGCTATGGTGGGTTGATGATGCTTCAGATGCAAGCCTGATGACTCAGAAACACTCTGCCATAGCACTGCTTTTGTGATTTGCTTTAGTCAAATCCGGCCCTAAACCCGGTTCTAGTCATTGAGAACCGTTTAAGGAGCCCTCTGACGGAACCTCATTCGAACTATTAAGTTACACTAAGGCCCCCAGACCTTCAGCCCTGAGCCCCAAAAACCTAAACCCCCAACCCTAACGAAAGCTACTCTCGTGCGCAGAGGCCCCAACCATTGGCTCATCCCGGTAAGGAATTCTAGCTGGACGCAGTCGGAAAAGAGCTCACAAAAGCCAACAAAACTCACCTATCAAGGCCCCCAAAATCCTAAAACCAAAGCCCTCAGCCCTTAACCCGGGCCCAGGAACATGGCCGCGGACCTGGTTCCCGAGGGGCTCTTCCCCGAGTCGCTGTGCTCAATGCGTTATTGGGGTTCTGCTGGGTTTTCCAGGGTCCAGGGCGTTAGGGCGATTTAGGCCTGCTGGGCTTTAGGGTTTTTGTTGGTCTAGGGTTTCTGAAACTTTGTACGTCCCTGGCCTTGTAATCACAGCAGCTTGTCCTTGACCAACGTCTTCCTGAAACCTACAGGAAAGGGCTCAATGAATTAGACTCTGAGCGCTCATCGCAGCCTTCAGCTCTGTCGTGCGATCGCAACTTGATACTGGGGGTCATCTCTATTCTGCGCCATCCGCATGGGCAGCTGGTTCTCAAGCAGCGATTGCAAGGCGAACCAGCCGCGGCCGGACGCACAACAGAGCAGAGAAAGTTCCAGTCGCAGGCACGAGGGACTTGTTTATGACGAGATGGAAAGGTTGGCGACTATGACGAAAGAGACGAAAGTGCGTGGACCGCGTGCTGGTCTGAAGCGTTGATGTGCGCTTGGTCGAACCCTTGTGTGGTCACCGTACATCAGCCTCTTCTTGTCAGAGTTCTTTAGGTTCTCAACGGCCATGTTGTTGAGAAGCGGAACCGTCCCGGTCAACCCTGACATTGCGAGATGTCGTGCGGAAAAACAACAGTGCTATTATTTCCAGGAAGACACTGCTGACGCCCTGGGAAAACTGCAGTCTCAGCACACACTGACATATCATGTACTTAATATCCTTTCCAAGCCCAGGCAGATCTCCTGACTTACCTAAATTGTGACCCTTGAAAAAGCACAGCTCAAACTTCAGCGTGTGCTAGTGTTACTTTAGCCATCAGCCCCAAAGACAGTCGGCAAAGTCGGACTTCTTGGCCACACGTCCTCCAGGACTGACCCATGGTATCCCTTGATCAACCCTGACAAACCCCCAAAAACAAGCAACTGACAAACCCTTATAAGCCCCAACAGACCATAATGTGGGTTTAGGGTGTAGGACAAGTTAAAGGTTTTTAGGGTTTAAAGGATCTTCGGCGCGATTGTTCGGTTGGTTTGCTGTTAAATCAGTTTCTTTGTGCGTGTGTTGCGGCTTAAAGTTGAATCGTCGTGGAAGTGTTGGTTGAAGGGGTGTGGTTTGGATCTCTATACCCTAAACCCCAAACCGTCCCAACGGAGCCTGAAGCGATGTGACATTCAGCACGAGGTATCAGGGCGATCTCCTGGCGCAGATTGCCGTGTCCCGAGCACGCATGCTCCTTGCCGGGGGAAACATAAATCCTCAACCACCGCCAATCCTAGACTGTAAGGCGACGAATAAGGTGTTCGACAGACAAGAAGCCTGCTGATGCTGTCCTTGGTTGCTCGGGGTTTCGCCAGCTGGCAGATTGGACTTCGGGTCTTCAGGTTTCGGCCTTCGTCATAAAATCATGTACGATGCTGAAGGGCCCAGGAATTGATGGACAAAGGTCGCGTGGCATGCCGGGTTTACAACCCGGCTACTTGTAATATTTTCGTGTGCGGTGTAGGGTCGGGCACGGGCGTTGGGATGTTGAATGTGGCGAACAACAGCTTTCAGGACATTTCAAACTCTGCAGCCACAACGATACGATCACAGTAGTCATCGCACGGATCAGGGCAACCCTAAACCTAAATGTCAAAATGATCTTGGTACCAGCCAGCTCTTTTCTCAGCAAGGCTGCCGCCCCTTCACCTGTGCACCTACAGTCTCCCTCGACAGATATGGACCTGCCCGGACGTCGTGACAAATTGGGCTGTCGGTCTGTCGGTCCAGTTTCTATGTTCTCCAACAGTCTAGCTACGTCCGGATAACCGATTGCCGAGCCTCCAGATTCTTCGCATGATGAGTCCTCAAATGCGCCATTGCTACGCCCTTAGTAGGTAAACTCGCGAATGCCGTTGTTATAGAGTTCCGAAATCAACCAAGATCTCATGGCGAAAATGAGGATGTTTTGTCTCACGTGCCCTAGACTCATATATAGGCATTCAAGTTGGTCTTTCCAGGATGTTATCAGAAGCCGAACCCATCGAACACAACTCGAAAGCCCCACAGACCTCCAAGTGTGTGTGTGTGTGCACATATATATATATATATATATATATATATAGATGCTGCCCCCGCCCTGGGTTATCTACCGGTTGCGGGGGAAGGGAGGGTTGGACCGAATGGTCCTTGGCAGGCCGCGGAGCGGCATCCGGGATCTCGGAACTCCTTGAACGAATCGAAGCTCATTTAGTAGGGATATAAACAGAGAACAGAATACATTATAGAATACCTCCGATACATACCCTATAGAATACCTTCTACCCTATAGAATACTTTATCCGGGTCCCCCGATATAACGTACATATACATTCGGGAATGCCATCTGGAATACGCTGTTGAATACCTTGTAAACGACCGCCTGTATATGATAGCCTTTGTATACCTTACATATGCCGTATAGAATACCTACAAAATATCTATAGAATACCTGGTAGGATTCCCTCTAGAATCACTTATAGAATACCCTATAGAGTACCCTATAGATAGGGATTCTACATATGGAAGACCAGTCGGAGTTGAAGATCTAAAACGTCCCCAGTTGAACTGTAGCTTATGGGCAAGGGGTTCCTGCGATTGAAATCAGGAACCAGGACGAATAGCCTTAAAACTACCTTATAGAAGGCCCTACAACTACCTTATAGAATACCCCCTCTATGT